CATCATTGTGTAGGTTTCTTTCGGCGCTAATTCAAGGCTTTGTTGGTTGCTTCTGAGGTTTTATTTCAGATATTAATGAAATCTTGTAGGACGTCATGTTGTGTTTATACAAACTGTAGCTGTTTAATATAAAACACGTAATTCAGTAAATCGTCTATTTTATACTAACCTAAAATTTGTGTGGACATAAAAAAAAGTGTGGACATAAGTTTCGAAGATCATTATTTTTTTTATCAGCTCAAAAGATGCACATTTTCAGCTCAGCACCACAATAAATATGTTATATTATATTATTATTGTTTAGTTACTTTCTCAGTAAAATCTATAGCTTTATTTACTAATTTTGATTTAAACCCATGTGTCAAACTCAAGACCTGGGGGCCAAATGCGGCACGCCAAGTCATTCTGTGTGGCCCGTGGGACCACACAGAATGTATTTAGTGAAGTCCATGCAGCAGAGTTTCTTAACCTGAGAAATTAAAAGTTTTTATAATCAATCAAATAATAATCAATTGCAGAAACATGTATTAGTCTGTTATGGAGTAGTTACATCTATACCAGTGGTCCCTGACCTTTTTTGTTCCAAGGACTGGTCAGCCAGTACCACCTGTTACTACAGACCAGTACCAAGGTACTGAGCATTGAAGGATTGTTTAATTTTCATAATAAATGAATGACCTACTATTTTAAAATATTGTCAGATTCTCTCTAAATAAAGAAAGTAAAGGATATGACAGGAATTTCTTTGAATTAAGTAAATTACTAAAAATTGAGTACATTGTTTCACTTTGTCCTACTGGGTATCATCCTCGTCCGCAGACCGGGGTTGGGGACCCCTGATTGATGATGTGGTCCCCAGTGAAAATCAAGTTGACTCCGCTGCCGTAGAGCATCACATCACACATATCAGAAATCAGCAAAAGCAAAAATATTCAGACGCTCACAATCTTTTGTTTTTTGCCAGCCCTTCACATGGATTTAATGCATCAACCTTGACAATGTGGATATGCTACCTAATAAGAATCATAATACACACTAATTTGAACTTGACCCTAATTCTTTTCTAAAGTCCAAACCAGTGAAGACCTGCAAAATGTCCCCACATTGTGTGGTTCCAAACAGTGTCCCCACAAATACAGTCACACCAGGAAAACACAAACACATGGTTGAGGATTTTTCTAACATTTCTTGATGCAGTCCTGTCGTTCTCATTAACCCAACGAGACCCTCACTGCAAGCTCTCCACTAATGAGTCCAGACATCGTCTCAGCGCAGTGTTAGGAACTATGTTAGATGACTAATCACAATCACTGACCACTGGCTTCTACATGAAAATAATACACCTCGATTAGGTCAGCGGCGATGTAGTGGACGGACTCGGCGGATGTCCAACTAAATGCTGTTCATTATGTTCATTATTGTTTTGGTTCTGTGGCTCGTGTTCAACATCAAAGACCTTTATCACTGTGTGCAAATGTCAGCTGTCATTAGCGCAGGGTAATTACCAGGCACACATCCACACACGGCCGTTTGTCTTCTTTATAGACGAAGGAGAGAACGTGTGAGAGGACGACTTCTAACGCCAGTGTGTGAGAGCGACGACGGGATGATGATCATCTCTCACACGCTGACACACACATCTGAGCTTGACCTTTTACAGCTCAGTCCATCCACAGCAACAGTTAGTCTCTTTCTCTGTTTTCTTCTTCTTCTTCTTCTTCTTCTTCTTCTTCTTCTTCTTCTTCTTCTTCTTCTTCTTCTCCTCCCTCTTCTTCTTCTTCTTCTTCTTCTTTTTACTGTCTTCTTCTACTTCTACTTGAGAATTGGTACACTGGAAAAACAATACTAATATGACTTAATGATTTAACAATGCGTATAAACCTTTTTTTAACAAAACATTTTCCTGACAATCTTTTATTCATCAAACATAAACAAATTCAGAATTATTATTATTATATAACTCAAAGACTTATTTCTGTAAGTTTGCATTTGGTGTCGACCAAAGACCCGTCCTAGTGGGGCAGTGGTGGCTTAGTGGTTAAAGAAGTGGACCACCAGCTGCCAAGTTACCACTGAGGTTCCTCTGAGCATGGCACCGTCCCCACTCACTGCTCCCCTTAAAGCTGCCCACTGTTCACTTTGGTGATGGGTTAAAAACAGAGGTCACATTTGGTTGTGTGAAGTGGTGAGCTGTGTCACAATGACAAGGAGTTCACTTTCCTTTCTTTTTCTTTGTTGTATGTGCAGAATTGGACCTGCTATTGTGCTCCTTGAAAAGACTCCCTTGAAATGATGTTGTCCTGACAGGAGCACATGGACATGGTCCAAATACCACCCTAATAACAGTCCTTTTCATCTTTGGCACAAAAAATACAAGGTCGAAAACAAGCTAAAATATAAACACAGCCGACTAATGAACATCAACAACAGGCAGGAACTGGAAAGGGTTTTCTCTTGGCATGATACAACACAGCAGACTTTACGATGACACTCCAGCAGGTCCGAGCTCTGACCACCAATCCAATTTAGTCACTTACAGTTCATTGTACGATTTTGCTTCTAAAGTTCAGAGCCAGCTACATGATGAAAACAAATGTTAGAATGATTCCTTTTACAGCAAGAAGATCACTGGTTCGATTCCTAGTCTCTTTGTATGGAGTTTGCGAGTTCCCAGGTGTGTATAGGTTTTTGTTGCTGCTGAAAATTACGTTATTCAGTCACCACTATTGTCACCTAACTGCCACAGATAGAATGACCTGAAAAGAACCACACCTGACGACGTTGTACATTTTACTCACTGCGAGGGGGAGCAGAGAGACCAACAGAGAACAGCTTCGCAGAGTTGGCTCACCTAAGTCCCAAAGTGTATTACATTTTACTCTTAGGGCAAAGTTCATCCGATTCCCATACTTAATGAGAAACAGACCTCATCCTTTATGGACCTAGATTGTAAAAAACCTTTCTATGAGTACCTACTCCTGTCAAACAGACCATTATTTAACACAATTAGATAACAGTTTATTCAACACACTTTGGTAACTAACTATAAATTCAATTTACAGTTTTCTCTGGGTATTTTAATTCGGTTGATTGAACACCCGCCATTGTTTGTTGTCAGGTAGGTTCCAGTGTCACAGTAGATAATGAATGGATGGATTTGATAACGTCCTACTTCAGTTTGGACCACAAAACTAAAAACTAGGGATGTCCGATATATTAACCTTTTTGCTGATATCCGATCTGCCAATGTTGTCGTTTCTGTGTCACAGGACAATACTTCGCAGAATACAAATAATAGTTTTGCTTTCAGTTTCACTTTGGGTTTTCAAATATCGGAGGAAAAACTGTTTAGGATTCATATTACATAATTAAGCTAATATCGGCCGAAATTATTGGACTTCCCTACTAAAAACCCAATAAAACATGCATGTTTGGTTCCACAATCTAACCCTTCTCCTCCTCCTCTACTTCCAGGTACTGTATCCAAATGTGCATGGGTGCTCATTTATTTTAGCTTATGTTTTAAAGTTGTACATGAACTTTGTGTATTATATATATATATATATCTTTGAAGTCCTGGTTTCCACTCATCCTTGCTTATTAGTATTACCAGTGGAGAGAAATCAAACTGTAGCAACCGCAGCATCTCAAGTACATGTAACCACTACTTACAGAGACCATTCAAATAGCATTAAGAACTAAACAGAAGAGTACTGCAGAGTATTTATTCAAAATAACCTCTGGCCTCATTATATAACAGCATTTGTTTTTGCACGAGTTCAACCGTTTCACTGTGTACAGCAAACAAATTAGATAATTTTCCACTCTTAACGTGCAGAGATAAATACTGTTTGAAGTCTGTGGTTACATTCAGCTTCTTACGTCTTCTCTGCCGCACTATCAGCATCAGAATCAAATCTAGTTCCCAATTTTTCCTGGGCGTGTCTTATGATCACGATAACATTCAGCACAGTGAGCCAGATGTTGGACACGACGAGGTCGGTGGTTTGGGGAAGAACCCGGTGACGGACCCTGAGGCAGAAGTGGGAAACAGAGGGTGAAATGCTGCATATTCTTCCTTCACAGGCAACCCAGTCCAAGTCACTCCATTGTTTAAAAAGTGCATGTAATAATTTAATGGAGCGTAATAAAATATGGATTTAACTAAAGCAATATTCGAACAACAGCATGTCATGTGTTTAAATATGAACTACACCTGGGCAAATATCATCATCTGCCGAAATTGCCTACATAGCTAATAGTATTTGATTACTATTTAATTACTCAACTATTTATACTGTTCATAACTATTTATATACCTAAGTTAACAATGGTTTACAATGGTATTATTGAAATAATAATTGAGATTGCAATCAACCACACCCAGCAACAATGATTACCTACTAATTGACTAACATCCACTGTTCAGGTTTCCCATTTTATTTAATTGTATTTTACCTAATTGTATGTTCTAAATTGTATGTTCTATGTATCTATGTATCTATCTATCTATGTATCTATGTATCTATGTATCTATCTATCTATGTATCTATGTATCTATGTATCTATGTATCTATGTATCTATGTATCTATCTATCTATGTATCTATGTATCTATCTATCTATCTATCTGTCTATCTGACTGTCTGTCTGTCTGACTGTCTATCTATCTCTCATTCTATCTGAGACAAGACATTTCCCACAGTAAATATGAGAGAGTGGTTGGTGATCACTAGTCGTTAATGATGGTGTTTTTTTTAGATGTGAAAATATGTTGCACATTTTATAAAGTCATTGAAAGCAGAGTGCCATGACTTTTAATTTGATTATTAAATTGGACGCAGTTATTGGTTGTCACACAGCTGAGCGCATGCCCTAATGCAGCCCTTTATGGCTGCTTTTCATCTCACATTACTGTAAGTCCCCTCAGCTCAGTGTTTTCCACTGACCCTGTGTAGGCCTGCCCGCCCGTCTCTGTCTGTGCTGCTATAAAAGCTGCCAGCCCTCAGTCGCCGCTGTTACTCACCCTATCTGCTTCTGGAAACACTTTGAGAGAGACCACTCATCATGTCCCCGACTCTGCGAGCACATCTCTTCTTCGTTCTCATCTCCCTCTCTTTAAAGATGGGGCTCAGCCGCTACGTGGAGGTAAGATCCAATTAACACTTGAATTCAAATGCACTGTAATTGCTGAATTACACCAAGTCAAGGACATGGAGCTGACATGTGTTTCTGTCCTGTCTTATTTAGGACATCAACTCATCAGATGGATTATATTCTCTGCTGAGTATGGAGAAGAAAAGAGATTCCGAGGATTTTGTTTACCGCCGACCCCTTAGTAAGTGATGCTTCAAACAGTGGTTCTGTTTAGACAACATTCACCAAATAAAGCCTTAAAACAATCCAAAGTGAATGTGGTGCTCTGCCTTTGAGCTGCAGCAAACATTCTGCAGAAACTGTTATAGAGAATTTCCATCATTAACAATAACAGATATTAAAAATGAAAATGTCAAATTCAATGTCTACAGTGTTAAATTGTTAGTTCCCAGAGAAGAATCATATATTTGAAAGATAATCGTATAAAGAGGGAAAACTTTTTACTCATAAGATGTTTTAAATGATAATAATGACCAAGATAACTATAATATATAATCACTGTTGTTATTATTATTATTATTATTATTATTATTATTATAAAACAATTGTATTCTGGAGGCATGACTTTGTTCAAAGAGTGTGGTTAACTGATGATCTGCTTGTGGGTAACAGGATGCATGGACATGCTGGCCACTGATGGCCACTTCACCTTTGTTGCGTCTCGACCACAACTGGCCTGCGCTACTTTCATAATTGCTGAGCCAAGTGAGGTCATCAGTCTGGAGCTCTCTGACGTCAGTATTGACTGCAGCGCTGGAGATTTCATTAAGGTTAGCAACACTTACCAAAATAGACCCCCACGCACAATTGGTCACACTACCTGGAGCAGGAGTAGAAGAGGCGACTTAGACCAGGGGTGTCAAACTGGGATTAGATGTCAGATTGATGAACGTAGAGGAGAACGGAGGTTGATTTTAAAAAAAATCTTTGGTCTTTTAACAAATGTATGTTGGTTATAAATAGGCAATTGAACGTGTGATGTAACAAATTGACTATTGGGGAATTGCACCAATCACATCGAAACAGACGACATGTTGCTTTCATCCTCAAATTTAGGCGCAACATGATTGGTCATAATGAAGGTGAAAGGTGGATGTTAAAAATACTACTGCAAGAGTTCCAAACCAGCTAAAAAAAAAAAAAAAAAGCACAAATTTAATTGTGTGTGTTAATGTAACCATACAACTTGCTGCTGGCCAATTTTGATACACCTAATTGTTTCAACCAGATTTAATACATATTTATGGAACCAATTTTTTAATTGCATAACAATAATTAATTAGTTATAGAATGAGCAACCATGGCTGAAAATGTAAATACTTTTTGTAAAAAAATGCATCTTAATAAGATACTTCATCTTAATCAGGAAAAAATAAAATTACTTTTTTCTTTCTCCTTTGATGCCCTTCAATTTACGCTGGATTTAGAACTAGAGATTCTGTGATCAGTGAGGTTGTTGTAGTTGTAGTTGGGGGGGCGGGGGGGGGGGGAGGGATGGAGGCTCTTTTCCTTAACTGAAAGGTTTTCCTCGTACATCTGTCCTCACCCAGACATTTGATGGCTGGGTTCTGAAGGGAGAGAAGTTCCCCAGCAGTGAGGACCATCAGCTTCCTGTGCGCCAACGCTACAGAGACTTCTGCTCCAATCCTGAGACAGAGACCACCAGCCGCTCCTCCCAGAACGTGGCAATGGTCTTCTTTCGCCTTCAAACCCCTGGCAGTGGCTTCACCCTCTCTGTCAAAAAGCTACACAACTTGTTTCGTGAGTTCCTCTAGACATCTATGAAGTCGATTTAAAAAATGGAGAAAAAAAAAACATTAGGAGAATGCATGAAAAATAAAAAAGAACGTTCAATTATTCATTAAGATAAAAAAAACCTTAAGAAAATAAAAAACAGGGTTTTTTTTTCATGCTTCCAGCTGAAGCCTAGAATTTTGCCTCTCGCCTGTTTCCATGGATGTTTGCGCTTGGATGAGCATTAATCAAGGCTGAGAGCGATAGACAGAGATTGACGGAGAGGGTTGCACCTGCTTTCCAGCTGCTTGACAAACACGGCATAAACACTGTGTCAAGCAACGTAACAATCACAAACCAACTGTAAGGTATTCTATGACAAGCACGGAATCAAAAGGAACAGTTTCTTTAAAAAAAAGAAAAAGAAAAGAAAAACTGTTTAGAACAAAACACTGTGAATCCCATGATCTTTTTTCTTAATCATTTGTGGTGAGCACGAACAGCAGCTGCTCACATTATCCTCCCTCTGGATCACACTGGTGACAACGCAGATCAATACTCATAAAATAGATGTGTGAAATAAATTTCCTAGAACCTTTTTACATTTTTGATACTTGTCTGGCACGATTAGTGCCAATGATTGGACAAATCTTACTTGTTTCATCTAGTACAGTTCGAACTAGTGGGAAACCAAAACACAAACACATGCAACTTTGATGTCATTCAAACATTACAGTGAGTCATACACTCTGTTATTCTGTCAGGGCTTTTTGCGTGAAGCCTATTTTTCTTAAAAAACCCTTCTTGATGAACCACAGGCCCAGTGCAGTGCAGTGTTCCATCTCCAGTTGGTCTCTGTCCAGTCAAGCTGTTACCAATTCAAATTTCATTTGTTTCATTTCAATCTGATTAGATAAAAAAGTAGAAGCCGCCTCACGACTCGTGCCTACACCCTGCAGTTTCACTGTTGTATTTCCAACTCCAAATGAGTTGAAAGAATCAATTATGAACCTTACAAAGTAAAGCTCCGTCTCCCCCTCTTTTTCTGTGTTTCTGTGTGTGTGTGTGTGTGTGTGTGTAAAGCCTGTAACATCATGTCTCAGAATCCGGAGGGCGACTTTACCATGGTGATTCCCCACCAGCGCCGAAACTGCAGTTTCTCCATCATCTACCCAGTGGAGATCAAACTGACTGGACTGAGTCTGGGGGAAGCCAAGAGAAATGACCTCATCCCACAGGTGAGAGACAAAGAGACAGACGGACAAAGAGACAGACGGACAGATGACGGTAGCCTGTCATGCTCCATTGTTGTAGTTCAAAAAGTCCTTCGTAGGCTGGTGTGAATCTCTGATAATTTACAAACTAACTATCTAACTTTCAGTTGTTCAAATACTTTAGAACTGGTCCACTCACATAAAACCTTCATCACACACAGTGATAAAAGTGCACAGATGCAGACTGCCAGACTTTGACTTCACCATACAAATGTGAGTGCTGCTAGGCTGAGCCAAATACAATAAACTGACCTTTTATTACCATTCAAACATTTGGAGGAATCATGTAAAGGCACCGGGGTTGAATTTCATGAATAGATTTACAAGAAGATGTATATGTGAGAAAAAGTAATACAGTAAGTGATAAAAAGAGATTCCGTGCAGTGAGGAGCTGAACTCAGTGCAGTGGCTCCTCAGCTTTAATGATTTCAGTCTGTTCTTCCGTAGTATCGCAGACACAGTCATCACCCTCTGATTCTGAGGATTCAATCTGTCTCAGATGTAATTTCATGTCACATCCATGTGAGTTGTTCTGTTGGAGCAACTTTAGTTTCTTGTGGTTTCATTTATCGCCGTCTGTTCTGCAGCACACACTCTCGCAAGTCACACACACATTTCCAGAATCCCTTTGTTCTTCCAGACGTGGCATCCGTTTGCATTTCAACATAATGTGAGCAACTGTAGCTGAAAATGGATTAATTTAAATCCATTACACGCACAGTCCTATGAAAACTCCACAGCACCAGTCGGACCGAATTCACATTTGACGTAATTAGCAATGACATTTCTGACTGTTTTCTGCCGGCTGTTGCCATGGAAACTCTAACACTTCACTGGGCACTCTCTGTTGTGCAACTATTTTGTCTTTTAAAACAAAGCAAAAAAACAAACATGTTTCACACACATACCACCAGATTGGGCCCAGGACTACCAGTGACCTGCATACCTTAGTTTGAGAACTGCAATGCATTCACCCTTCCATGTAGAATTTGTATAGATAAAAAAAAATCACAAAAAACATTTGAACCCCTAATGATTGTAATCATCAAGTTACATAGATGTCACAATAGTATATGTCAGTTATGTCCAAAGTGTGGGGCAGGGCCCACATGGGGTGCAGAGCTTTTACAGCTGTGGTGCAGTGAAAAAAGTGAATTATAAATCCAAAAAACAATTCCTTTATTTCTTCCTCTGTTTTCGGTAAGAATTCAATTTTGGTGGAAATTACAGTGTTTTTGAATGAAGTTCAATGAATTTAAGAGAGATTTTTTGACATGACAATATCACTGTCTTCAAAAGGGTGTTATGTACCCATTTTTACCTGGTGTTTTTTTTTTATGCTCAACATTCCCATATTTTTTAACTTTACTCCGTAAACACCTGAATATCTCAATATCTCAAACTTTTCACAAACCAATAAAATTCAAACAAACGTTCTACTGTTGCTGCTTTTACAGAAACAGCTGTGGTCTGGCTGCTCTGGATCAGGTGACTACGTGGAGCTGCTTGGAGGTAATGGAGTCGATACGTCCAGAATGTACCCCGTGGCCGACCTGTGTTACTCCCTCAGAGGACTGGGTGAGTCTGTGTGATACTGTGATAATAATAATAACAATTGTTTTGGTGTTTACTGTTAATTTACTTCACAAAACACACCATAAAAGGAAAAGAATCTTAGTGAAGTTCTTGAAATGTTATGAGTATGAAATGTTCTTCATGTTCTCCAGAGTGAACAGAGTTTGTTCTGTGTCTGTCGGTCTTTTAGCCCAGATGAAGATTGGTTGTGATAATTCTGTGGTGAGGCTGGTGTCTAGTGGGAACTATATAAACCAGGTGTCCTTCCAGTACCGACTACTGGATCATCACGAGCTCCCCAAATCCCAGGAGAACAGTCTGGATAACTTCTGCACTGTGGAATGAGACCTGACACAAATACACACATACGGATATGCAGAGATATCACACAGCTTTTTGTTGCTTTGTAACTGCACCATGTGAAATAAAGATGTCCAAAGTGATGACATTATTAATGTTTTTTTTCTTTGGTTTTTGACCATTTTTTATTCATCTATTTATTTGAATAATTGTTTTATTCATTGTAGAAATCTATTATTCTTCTCAGATGTAGATGTTGGAGTCTGTGTTTGTTCTCCAAGTCTGTGCTTCATTAAATCTCTTGGTGAGAGCAGCCATCATGTTTCAGTTGGTTCTCTTCTCTGCTGTTTCATGTTTCAACTTTGTTAATTGTAAAATAAACACATTATACTTGCATTGTGAATTTTGTCAAAGTGATTTTTTCTCTGTTTTATTTTGTTCTCTGTTTTTATGAGTTACTTGTTTTCCTCAGTTTTATTGTCTAACTGAAACGTGAGTTTCTTCAAGGCTGTTCGACCGTAGTCTGAATCCAAGTCTGTTCAACTGTCAGAACACTTTATATTAAATACATGTGTAAAATACATACATACTGTACAAACATACATACTGTACATACATACATACATACATACATACATACATACATACATACATACATATACATATCGGTCGAACGATATAGTCAAAGGGTAAAGTTGATGCAACAGTCTGTGGAAATGATCCTCCGAGTTCTTCTTCCAGCTACAGATTAAGAAAAGAGTGCAGTAATCAAAGCTAAAATCTTATTATCTGCCATTACAAATCACTGCAGAATTTTGGCCCAGTGTTTCTTCTCTTTTGATCTACTTTATCACAAAAGTCCATATGTGAGCTAAATATATTGAGTTTATTTTGGAGTAATCAGTAGACGCTACAAATAATGGCTTTTGTTTGTGCGACGCCGCTCATTAATCAACGATAAAATCTGCAGCAGCTGAACTTTGTTTGAGGTTTGAACCAGAGGCGTCCCATTGGTTGACACATGTTAACACACACATGTCTAACTAATTCAGTATTGGTTTATTCTGAATATAATAGGTTATGTATGTGAGTAGAAAAATATAGTTATTTTATATGATTTTTTTAATTCAATTTCTTACTTTTCTGTTAGATGGAGCTGCTAAACATTGACAATAAATGTCAGTGTCTCTGTCACCTTTACTTTGGTGTTTGAGATTCTTCTCAAACTCAAGGCCTCTGCTTCAACCTTATTCGCCCTGACAACAGTGTGAAAAACCACATTTCTGCCATTGGAGCTCAAGCACCTAACAAAAGTTATGAGTGCTTTAATAAAAGGTCATAAATTCATCTGGCATGAAGCCATCGGGAACATTGACAGTAATCAGTAAAATCTGAAACCAATTACCTGCCTCCTCTGGGTCTGGTTAAAAAAACCTGGCAACCGCATTTATTGCATCTGAAGTTGATCCATTTATCGTCCGCCAGGGAAGTGAATGGTAAAAACAGAGTTATGCAATTTTCATGTCATAGAAAAACTGTTGGATGTGAAATGACATGCATTTTGACTGTGTGTTTTTTTTTAAGATATTTCGTGGAATTAAATCACGATTTAATATCACGAAATTAAATTAAAAGTTGCTGCATTTTCTCCAGGGCGCCAGATATTTTTCTGCAGTTGAGACCAAGTGGGGATAAAGTGATAGGGCTATAAAACTTGAGGACCAAACATTCTCTTCCAGCTTAGGCAAACAGTGAACCCAACCAACAAAATGTCATGTCAAAATTCTTGCTTCTATTACAAATTTTGTTCTGTATCAGCCTGAGAGTGCTGTTGCTGTTGCTGCTGCTGCTGTTTAGTTTTGATAGAGACTGTTTGAAGCGGTAGAAGAAAGAAGAACATGTTAATGACAGAAAGGAAGAAATAGTCCAACTATAGCTGTACCACATGCAACTTCGTCATGTAGGACGTCATGATTGAAACCCTACTGTGACTCATACAATGTAACTGTCTGCATTTTAGAGCAGCTAATAAACTATGGCTTTGGAAATTAGTATTGAGCATTGACGCATTCACTTCCCTCCTAATCCTATTTGTTCCAGAGGTAAATCTGGACAAATAGGTCGAATTCCAGTTAATAAACGCTTAATTTTTAATAAAACAAAAATTAGAGAGCTTTTCCTACATCCTTTCTGTCATAAACAAATTCCAAAAAAAAAAAAAAACACTTTACAGATGTGAATTTTTATTCTGGGTGACTGTGCAGCTCCTAATGGGATTATATCACAAGCCTGAGTGGCTTAGTTCCTGTGTTTGATCTTTTCCTTTCAGTGAATTAATTTCAAACCTGCTCATTCGGAATGATTTAATTAAACAGCAGAAGTTCCTTTTTCGTTGCATGTGTTGCAGTTTTTGGTCGTCATCGCTGAGCAAAATGCACTCCAGCCGCCACTTGGAGGAACGCAGCCAGTTCACGTTGATTGGACTGGACGGCGTCATCACGAACTGTAACATCTTTACATTTGCTCTTTGTCTCTTTCCTGAAACTGACTTTGTCATATGAAGCACCGAGAGGTGTCAGAGTCTTCACAGAGAGACTGAGGCTCCACTGAACCAGACAGCCCTGTGTTATTAATAACTTCACAGTAACGCAAGAAGAAAACTCTGTTTATTTAACATATTATTCCCACTGGAGTGGTTAGTGAGGGAAAATCAATCGGCTGCTGCTGCTGGACTTTATTTGTCGCCTCATTTCAAATAAACGGGTCTACTTCACTGGATTAGTACAGTTTCACTGGAGCATCAGATTAAATTCAAGAATATAAAAAGACGGAGATGAAAGTCACTGAAATGACGGTGTTTTTTTTTTTTTTTTGTTTTTTTTTTTTTGTTTTTTTGCCTTATCTAGTAGCTGTTTTGCATCTTTTAGCTAGCACTCAGCACAGAAAAGGTCAACAATGGTGGAACAATAATCATCTGGCTAATCGTTTTGATCTTTCCCTGCAGCGTTCACAGAAACTGTTTTCCAAACGCTCCACACCAACAGTAATAAAAACCACTGGACTGAAGTTCAAGGCAGGACTGTTTTGAAATTTGAATAAAAAATAATTGAGTGTTTTTGCTGAAGACCATGTCACCCAAGATTGGGAAATTTGACATTATTTATTTTGTCTCACTAATACTGATAATTTCCATTTACTGTGATTTTTAACATTACATCATTTTCCATTGTTTTCAGCCCAGTATTGTTTGTGACTCCCATTAAACCCTTATATTTACACAAAGGTATATATGAAATATTAATATATTTTATATTTTTATATCAGTGGTTCTCAACCTTTTTCTACTCTGTACCACCTGAGAAAACCTTGATCTCTCTGAGTACCACCATGAAGAACCAAGAAACAAAGCAATTAACTGAGATTAATTAAACAATTTTCACATGTTCATAATTGAGACACATTCAGTCCAATGATAATTCGATTTAATGACAGAATCATCAACAGTTTTGCCTGGTGCGAATAAAATGTTTATCTTGTTTATATGAGTTTTTTTTTTATATGTGAGCAGCAGATAACGATACCTCTTCACAGGACTTCAGGCGCTTTGTAGTACTGTATAGTGTAGAAAACTAAATGTATTTAGCTTTTTATCTAGTCTATTAGTTCTTGCATTTTTAATACAGAATTCTTTCACCTAATAAAAATATATTTGGAATTTACAATGCCTTAATGGTTGGAGTGAGAGGAATAGTCCTACAATTATTTCATCTTATTCTAATTCTTATTCTTATTCTTATTCTTATTCTTATTCTTATTCTTATTCTTATTCTTATTCTTATTCTTATTCTTATTCTTATTCTTATTCTTATTCTTATTCTTATTCTTATTCTTATTCTTATTCTTATTCTTATTCTTATTCTTATTCTTATTCTTATTCTTATTCTTATTCTTATTCTTATTCTTATTCTTATTCTTATTCTTATTCTTATTCTTATTCTTATTCTTATTCTTATTCTTATTCTTATTCTTATTCTTATTCTTATTCTTATTCTTATTCTTATTCTTATTCTTATTCTTATTCTTATTCTTATTCTTATTCTTATTCTTATTCTTATTCTTATTCTTATTCTTATTCTTATTCTTATTCTTATTCTTATTCTTATTCTTATTCTTATTCTTATTCTTATTCTTATTCTTATTCTTATTCTTATTCTTATTCTTATTCTTATTCTTATTCTTATTCTTATTCTTATTCTTATTCTTATTCTTATACTTAAACTTTTTTCTACTCTGTACCACCTGAGAAAACCTTGATCTCTCTGAGCTCCACCATGATGACCAACATTAGAATATAGCAGCATAGACCTTCACTGTTAGCTTTCACCACAGAGGAGAGATGTTTAGAAATGTTTAGAGAGATGTTCATGTTTAAATGTTGTATTAATTGTTCATTGTATGTTTCAGATTTATTCAACTGAAAATGTAAATGTGAAAATATGAATTTCTCCCGTGTACCGCTGGAGAGCGCTCGCGTACCACAGTTTGAGAACCACCCTACATTTTTACTAAATATATGCTAAAGTGTTGGGAATCCATTTAAAATCAATATCTATGAATGCACATTTAATAAAGATTATGCGGAATATTATTTCAATATTATTCTTTAAATTTCTTTCAGATTCCACAAAAATGTATTAAAATCAATTTTAGGAGGAATGAAAATAAATAATATTAACTACAAATATGAGAACATGTTTTTAAATTCTGACAGATGGAGGGAACCGGGACGAGTGCCGCTCGGAGGAAAAACCTTTTAGTTATTTACTGAAATAGAAAACAAGTGACTGATTAAAAACTTTTTTTTTCTTTTTGTCTGTTGTACTTAATGGAAATCTGAAAGTGTAGCTCCATCACTGTACACATGGTCAAAGGTTTTGGTGATTAAACTATGAGTAATAAGATATTTAGATACATGTTGTTCATGTTTATTTTTTTTTGCTGCTCTCTGCTGTTAAAAGTATGAATAGTTTAGATTTTCAAATAGTGTCTCAACTAATTATGGACTGCAGTATAGACTAAAGCGCAAAAGATCATTTCTATCATAGTTAATAAATAAATAAACAGTGAACACACCTAAAAAAAATTTTTTTTCTGTTTATGTGTGAAAAAGCATATATTTTTTTAAAACTGTGTAAAAAAAAACAGGTTAATCAGGTCGGTCACAGCAAGTCATCATAGCCAATTAAAATTATAAATTAACGGTATGTAACGGTCGTTTAAAAACATGTATAACTGCACTCATGTACATACAATATTTTATATTCTATAGGCAAAAATAGAAAAAAAATTAAATATAAAAATAAAATACAGTATTTTAGTGATTATGTTGTGGGACTTTTTTTG